CTTAGCATTTTAACAACTTCTAAAAATATTTTAAGGCAAGTCTTGCTAAGTTTTTAAGTGGCCCAGGCTGGGCTTGAATTTGGGATCCTTCTGCCTCAGCCTCCCAGAGTATTGGCATTATAGGTGTGCATAACGCCCAGCACTCATCCTTCTTTGATATTCCCTTGGTTTCATTTGCTTCCTCCTCTCCCCGACATCCCTACTGTAGGAGGCATTTTCTTTAAGGATCCACAACTATTTCATAGGGCCTTTGGGGGTGGAGGGAGGTGCAAGGGGAGCTCGTTGTGGTTGTGCTTGTACCTGTGGCTCCCCCATGTGCCTGCGGAGCCCTGGGCCTACACACGGCCCCCTGTAGGCACCGGCATTTCCATGGGAGAGCATCTGTCCCAGTCACTCCCAGGAGACACTCTCTCCGGTGTCTGGGGATGGCTCTTCCTTTTCCTACACCAGCTTAGGCACAAATGCCACCTTGGGAGAGCCCTTCCCCGTCCTCCTGTCCTTCCATCCCCCGCCCCCTCTATCACATCTGCTTGTGGCAGGGGAATTCCAGTGATGTCCCCCGGGCATAGTCTCCTGTGTCCCCATTCTTTTAAATGGACTTCGCGGGTTTCTGTTGAGGGTAGAATCCACCTCCCTACCCTTGAAGCTTCTGACTGCTTTGACCAATTGTACAAGTTACAATAAATGAAATTTAAAAATTTATTAAAGTGAAAGGCACATTGCCAGGAACCCTCCCCAAAATGCTCCTGCTTGTTTTGACACACTTCTCCCATTGTTCTGACCGCTTCCTGAAGCAGTTCTGGGAGTCCTCTTTCCTGAGTGTCTTTACAGGTGTGATTAAAAGCAATTACAGTGACACCTGCCGCCACTGAGCGCCACCCAACAGAAAGGCAGCTCGTAAGAATGTGACGCTGTGTCCTCGTCCACCTTAGTCACCGGGTCTGGCACTGTGTGTGTTCCGGCTCCTCCTCAAAGTCAACGTGACCACGAAAGGCCCACGTTTTGAATCCATTCAGCACATCGAGGCAGCTAGGCCAGCACAGCTAGAGACATTCAGGAAAGAGGGCTACAGAGCTGCTGCAGGAAGAAGAGGAGCAGAAATTTCAATATTCGGCCTGGATTCAAATCCCGCCTCCGCCATTTACAGCTCTGTGATCTTGGACAAGTCCCTTGACCTCTTAGAGTTTCAAGTTCATTGTCTTTAAAACATTAGTACGAAAATAATATCTACTTCCAATGATTGTGAAGATTAGACATACGTGAAAATCGTTTTGCAAATGGTGAAGTACGGTACCAGTGTTACTTGTTGTTTTTAGTTTAACCAAAGAACACTTTTGCTTGTGTGTTTTTGCTTTTTCTTTCCCAGGTAGTAATGGGCATTGAATCGAGGGCCTCGTGCACACTACACAAGTGCTCTGCCACTGAGAGCCGACCTCCCGGTCCTGAGAACGGAGCTCTTTATTGTTCTGCTCCTTTCTTCTCTGGGTAAAGAAATGCCCTAATATAAAATTTTATTTTATTTTAGTTTTTGATAGTGGAAATTGAACTCAGGACCTTGAGCCAGCCAGGCAGGCTCTGTGCCACTAAGCTATATACCTGGCCCTAAAATCTTAAATTTGTGGATCGCAGTGTCCCCTTGGGGGATGTGAATTATAGGCAGGAAAGGGGAGGGAAAAGCTTGTGGCTTTCGAGAAGACTCTCCGAAGCGCTGACTCCTGTGTGCTCCTGGGAAGTCCAGGGAGTGCGCGGAAACTCGGCTGCCTTATCTTCGGGATTTGCGCTCTGCTTTCTGAATCTGTTAGATGTCTGTGTAAAGCGAGGTTGGCGCATGCCCTGCTGAGGACGTTCCTGCATTTTCTCTTTCCCTGGAGAAGGGACGCCTGGGGTCTTCACACGAAGCCTCGACTTTACAAAGAGCTGGGAGAAAGGCTGCTCAGTTCGGCTGAATTTGAAGGACGGTCCTGCGTTGGTCGCGACGGGATTCTCTGCAGCGTTCCAAAATGAACTCTTGGCAGGCGAAGGACCTGCCCTGTTGCTCTGGCACCCTGTGACTGTCACGTTCCCAGAAGCACCTCCAGGGGATAACGGTACTGGCCCTGTTTTACCAAAGAGGAAACCGAGGCTCCAAGATGAAGGCCAAGCTGCAGGGAAGCGAAGAACTGGCCAGGCTAGAGGCGTCTCCGCAGCCTGGTGACAGCGTGCTCCAGCCTCTCATGGGCGTCTGCAGGTGCCAGGCAAGGCCCCGCTCTCTGTGGCAGGAGCTCCTTTCCCTTCCTCTTACAGCAGTGGGTGGTGGCGTCCAGCCGGACGGATCGGGGCAGGGGCTCCACAGAGTCACAGTGCAGGGAGGCCTGGCACCGAAGGCCGCCATCCCAGCTAGTTCATCCCTGGCCATCTCAGGGGGGAGTCTCAGAACGTGGGTAGAGGAGGAACCTACCCCAGAGGAGACGGAGCCACATCTGCTCTCTTCGAGGGCCCCGGGTCACAAGACCGAAGACTGGAGCTTCGACGGCTGCTGTCTGTCTGTCCCTGAGTGACGTCAGATACGGGGGGCAGAGGCGTTAATGTGTGTCACAGAAGGGAAGGGGGTCCCAGCTCTGACCGCCAAGCGTACAGAGTAAAATACTCAACGGCGCTGAATCGAAGCTCCGAGTGTAAAGGACATGGAGCGTTCTTCCCTGCTGCTTTTCCCTCGGAGACTTCCGTTGTCAGCTTCCCGCCCTCACGCTGGACTCCAGAACGCAGGCTGGGCAGGCAGCCGGGTGTCGTTCTTCGTTTTTATGGCCTAGTTTTTTTTCCAGATGTGGTTAATACCGAACCCTGGGCTATTTTTAAGATGAAACCCTGCAAATAAGCTAACATTTGTGATGGGGGCTTTCTTTGTTTAAAACAGAATTTATTTAATTTACTATTTTTATTTGACAAACAATTGCATGTACGTGTCCGGTAAAATGTGATGCTTTACTATATGTATACATTGTAGCAATAGTAAATGAAACCAGTTAACGCGTCCCTTGCCTCACCTACTTCTCATTTTTTTGTGTGTGTGTATGGTGCAAGCACTTAAAATCTACTTTCTTTTCTTTCTTTTTCTTTTTCGAGACAAGGTCTTACTATGTAGCCCAGGCTGTCCTCAAACTCATGGGAATCCTCCTGCTTCAGCCTCCCGATTGCAGGCATTACAGGAGTGTCCCATGACACCTAGTCTAGAATCTACTGTTCTAGCAATGTTGAAATCTAAGTCACATTATTATGAACTGTGGTCGCAGGCTGTGCTGTAGATGACTAGAACAGACAGGTTTTTAATTCTGCTTCCATCACCCACCAGCAGGCCGCTTGCTTTCGCTGGGCCTGTGAGGGGGAAGTCCCAGCCCAGGCCCAGCCTGCCCCACCAAGAAGCGCCGCTCCGTCCCGTCCCAAGGCCCTGTCTCTTGCTGCGGTCCTTCTGATGTGGCCATTTTGAAACGCAGGACGTTTCCACATAGCTATTTTTTGATACTATTGGAAAATTTCTGACTTTCAAAAAACACCAGCCCTGTCTTGGTTGTAGGTGTCAGAGGGTGCGGCTGCGGCTTGTGTCCTGCCGTGGTCCCGGTCTGGGTGTCCTGTGGATTCACTCCCTGCTCTGCCCTGTTGAGTGCACGTGGTGGGGAGACTGCAGAGGGAGACCCCTCCAGAAAAGGGGGTCGGCGGCCTCTATCGCCACCAGCTCTGAACTTTGGCTGCCAAGAGAGGCCAGAAAGACAGCAAGACAGGGGTCATAGAGCTCAGCTCTTTGCTTCTACTGCTTAAGGCCCCAGAGGGTACCTCTGGATGGGCAGTGCTGGGGGCAGCATCCCCTGCAGGGCCTCACACCCCAAAATCACACACACACACACACGTGCTCTGGCAAGCCAGCCAGGGCAACTCCTCTCCACGCCCCCCATTTCCCCTTTCCCTGAGCAGGTGCCAGCTGAGGAAGCCATTCTCTTTGACACTTTGCAGGAGATGGTTTCCCCTGACCCCGCGGTCCTCAGCTTTGAGTCTGGTTGCAGAGGACCAAGGGTGCTGATTGCTGCAACAGGTGGCTCCCCACCCTCGGGGCTCTCCACCAGCGCTGGTGCAGCAGGAGTGGCCTGGCTTCCTTCTGGTTTTCATCGGGCAGCTGCTGCTCGCAGTACAGAGCTCACAGAGGGCCTCCCCGCGCCCCAGAGGCCGCCTCCTCCTCCAGACGCCGGGCTCCCCCTCCCACCCGCACGGTGAGTCGCGCCCTGCCTCTCCGAGCCCCTGCCCCACTGTCCCCACGTCCTCGGCTGTGTGTTCCCACAAAGCTTCTGCATCCCAGACTTGCTCTTTGCTGCACTCCAGGGCTCACAGGCACCTGGCTAGAAACTTCTAGGGGGTGAAGGTGACTGTCGCTGGCCCAGGCTGCTTGTAGGGTGACTAATAAAACTCCTTTCTCACCTACACATGTGAATGTGGGCCTGAGGAAGTTTGTGAACCGTGCCTCAAAAGCAGAGGAAGCAGATTCTGGGGACAGATGGCAAAAAGGAGCCGGGGCTGGGGAGGCGAGGGTCTGTGAGGTCCTTGGATCTGCAGTACAGCCGTAGCGCAAGGAGGCTTTGTAGCAATGAGAATCAGAAACTGTCAAGCCCGGCTCTGAGAGGTGTCTGATCGAAAGGATGGTGGCACACGGCGGCCACCTGTCAGGGGCAGCTCTGGGGTCCGCGAGTGATGAACTGGAAAGCAAGCTAGAAAATGGCATGTGCAGGCTGAGCTCCTTTCCATGAAGAGTTGTGTGTGTGTGTGTGTGTGTGTGTGTGTGTGCATGTGGTTGTGTACAGAGAAGCTGTCAGAAACGTATCTCAGAAAGTTCACAGTGGCCGAACTAGGAGAGAGTAGTAATCTCTCCCTAGTATGTGTTTAAATGTTTGGGTGTTTTTAGACATTGTAAAAAAGTTTCCTTTGTGATGGGGAGAAAAAGCAAAGCTATTTTTAGTGACTCATCGGTGAATGCTCGTTTGTCCTTCACACTCGCCCTGCCTCTCTGGTTCTGAACGCGCCTGCTGTGCTGAGGTGTCGGGGAGCGGCCGCAGAGGCCTGTGAGCGCCCGCTGCCCCGCACTGGGGAGCCCTCCCGGCCCCTCGGCCGAGGGAACCCAGAGGGGGCCTTTCGGAGCCCTTCCTTCCCCTTCCTCCAGCGTTTGCCCACCTGCTCTGAAGCCGGCTTGCACGGGAGGCCCCTGGAGCCCGAAGGGCAGGGGCTGAGGCTCAGAGCAGCTGGCTCAGAGTCCCCGCCCCAGGCGGAGAGAGTGGAGAGCTGCAGAAAATGCAGAGATGCTTCCACTTCACATGGCAAATTGGAGAAAGAGCCAAGCGGGCGCCGCATTCCTGCCGGGTTAGTGTGGGCCTGGGGCTGGGGCTGGGGAGGCGGAGGCTGTGCCGCGGAGGGCCCGGGCAGTGCAGACCCTGCGGGCTTGTCTGTGGCCACTGAAGGGCTGGAGTGGACCCGAGAAGAGCGGCTGGGCCCGCGCGGGTTCCAGGCTCCCTTCCCAGCCGCCTCTCGCCTCAGGCATTGGCAGCTCCCTCCTTTTCCCCCCCAGCTTTCCAGCTTCCGCGACCTGCCTTGGGACAGTGCTCCCTCCCCCCCTCGGCTGTCCCCTTGCTCTTCAGCCTGCCAAGGTTAAGTGAGAGTGCCACCTCCTCGTGAAGCCCTCCTGCGCGGTCCCCGGTGCCCGACCACAGCTACCTTTCCTGGCGGCAGCCTTCGCTAGACTGACTACCCTTGGGGTTTGCAGCTGTGCCCTACCAGGCTGCCCGGGTGCTCCTGGCACAGGGGATACGGGGGCCACGGCTGCAGGTGGCCCTTGTTGTCCCATAGCTCTGTGCACTCTGCAGAGACATTCCCACCCTGCGCTGCCATGGGCTGTCCTCGCCTTGGAGTAGCCTGAGCCTCCCCAGCCTGTGTACAGATGAACAAACTGAGGCTCAGGGAGTGTGTCCCTTCTGCCCAAGCTCCCACTGGGCAGAATGGGTGGATCAGTAGGTAGGCGGGGATTTTGACTTCTGGTCATTCACTGTGCTTCAAAGGCCTGGCCCAGGCCATACCTAGAAGACGGGGGTTTGCACCCAGTCAGACGCCATTCCCCCCAGGTGGACCTTCCAGAGGTTCCTTGTTCTCAGTAGGTTTCATCACGTGTGGGATTTTCCTCCTCCTCAGGGACAAGAAGGAAATGAAAGCAAGCTTGGAGCCTGCCACTGGTGGGATAAAATATTAGGAAAGTATTCTGACAAAAATTAAAGAAAGACAGGTTTAAACTATCTGGCTGTCTGCAGTGTCTTCAGATGGTGGGATTAAGAAGGCGTATTTCTGTTTTTATTCTTTGGCTTTCCAAATTTTCTGAGCCAAAGCACATGTACCTTGCAAAGAAGATAAACCTGCGAGCAAAGCTAGTGCAGGGTGACAAAGGTGCAAAAAGTGGCTTCCTCGAATTTGATTACTAGCTTTTCTTTTTTGGTGCTAGTTGCTTCCCTTGGTAGAGGGACGGCTACAAGTTCCTCTTTTGTACGAACTTTGTAAACAGGTGTACGGAGCGGAAGAGCATTGGGCTTTTTCCTCTCCTCCTCCTCTTCTCCT